CCCCAAAACCCCAAAACCCCAAAACCCCTTATAATTTTAATAATAAATCATATTTAAAATGGAGAAAGAAGAGAGTAAAGCTCCTGAAGTTTACAAGAAGAAGAAATTGCTAGGCGAAGGTGCTTCTGGTAAAGCATACCTCGTCCAGTGAGGATCTGATAAGGTATTTACTCTCTAAGCCATGGTTAGCCTACTATTTGAATTGTCATTGCTCCTATTCTGTTGTTCTAGATCATCAATTTAATGTTTTGTAGAGTAAAGCAGTTGTCAAGCAAATCAATGTCGAGGATATGGCAGACAAAGATCGTGAAAAGACTCTGAAGGAGTCCCAATATATGGCCTTATTCAAGCATCCCAACATTGTCAGGTTCAGAGAGAACTACATGACCAAGAAGGGTAACCTCTGCATTGTGATGGATTACTGTGATGATGGTGACCTTTACAAATATCTTGAGTCGTTAGACACAAAGCTCAAAGAAGAAGATATTCTTAACCTTTTCGTTCAAATATGCCTTGCTTTGAAAGAAATTCATGATGAAAGGATCATTCATCGAGACTTAAAGTCGATGAATATCTTTCTAACAAAGAGAGGCATCCTGAAGTTAGGTGATTTCGGAATAGCTAAATTATTTTCCACTATGACTGTAGAGGCAAGAACAAGGATTGGTTCTCCTTGATACCTTTCTCCAGAGATTGTGTCTGATCAACCATACAAGCAATCATCAGATATTTGGTCTTTGGGAGTGCTCCTATACGAACTTTGCTGTCTCACACCTCCCTTCGCTGGATCAAATTTCAATGATCTATGTGAAAATATCAAGATTGGCAAATATGAGGATATTCCAGTATTTTACAGTGAAGAGCTCGGCCAATTAATCAAGGCAATGCTAAACGTTGATCCGAACATGAGACCTACCATAAATGACATCCTTCAGCACCCTCTGCTCGTTCCACCCCTGCTTGAGCACGTCAAAAGTGATATTTTCAAGAAGGAATTTATTTATTTATCCAAATTTGTTAAGGCCAAATCAGAAGACACCAAAGAAGAAGCATCCTCAAAGAAGAGCTTAACAAGAGAGCAGTTGAGATATAAGGAATATGTGAACAAGATTGAGGAATTAATCAACCCTCCTGAGGAGTGTAAGCCCTCTAAGAGTTAACCTTCGTCTAAAGATATGGCAATACCTCGAGATTATTACTTCAATCTTCCAAGATTTGTACTGAACCCATTTTCAACCTTACCCAAATCGAACGGGGTTTTGGGGTTTTGGGGTTTTGGGGTTTTGGGG